TTAAGGATTATGAGGTCTGCTGAACTAGCTCAGCCTCTCATCTGGGGCTGAGTACATCCCAGTGTACATGACTGTAGATTAAGTTTTTAAAAGATTTATTTATTTGAGAGAGAGGAGAGAGAGAGAATGAACAGTGGGGAGGGACAGCGGGGGAGAGAGAGGGACAAGCAGGCTTCCCGCTGAACAGAGAGCCTGATGCGGGGCTCAATCCCAGGACCCTGAGATCATGACCCGAGCCAAAGGCAGACGCCTAACCAACTGAGCCCCCCAGGTGCCCCGATTAATGTTTCTTAACCAGGGGTGATTTTGGCCACCCTAGGGATGTTTGACGATGTCTGGAACCACTTCGGGTTGTTAAACTGGGGGAGAGGGTGCTACTGGCATCTAAAGGGTAGAGGCTTAAGATGCTAGTCACTATGGTACAAGGTGCACTATATACTCCTACAATCAAGAATTACCCAGCCTCTAAAGTGCTAAGGTCAAGAAACTCTGCCTTACGGGCAGGTCATGGCTGGGGAGGGTTGTACTTGTGTGAGCTCACACTTTGTGGAGAAGCAAACCTAAATCACAAAAGATCATTCCGTACCTATTTATCCACAGCCTCACTCAGTACTCTGTAGAAATAACAATACCTTGTTATGTGTGAAGTGTGTGAACAAGTAAAATGTTCCCTTAACAAAAATCATGTTCTCAGGACTACTTCTTTGCATGATACTTGGGTCAGGTTGGAATGGCTTCTTTTCTTGAAATAACAGAAATTAGCAGGTCTCCTTCCCCCCCACCCCCCGCCTATCTTTTAAAGTTGACAAATGGCTTAAAGTTAATAAACCTTTCTTTAATGTTAATTTGCAAAGAAAATCTTGAAAGAACAACGTTAAGGGCAAATCAGCTAAATTATCTGAAAATCTCAGAGCATATTTTTGTCATTGTTTCCATTTTTAAGACAGTATATATTCTAGGAAGATGTGTTCTTCATCTTTCAGTCTGTAGCTTCAGTGTAAAAATACACTTTTCTTTAGAAAAGCCTTAACTCTGTAAATGCAATGAAATGAGGTCAAAAAAATGAAAGACCAACTCCTGAGAAGTGAGCCTGGTGTTGGTCTTACTCAAAGGTGAGTTTATAGAAATAGCTATATGAATACATCTTGTGTTTTATTTCATGGAATAATGTTTAATTGGGACAAGGGATAGAAAAAAAATCTCCATCTATTTTATACAACAGAGAGTACAGAAAATGCACCAAGAGCAAGATAGCTCATTGGTCCCATTACAGATTCACCTAGAAAACAACATCACAGAAAACACTAGTCACTACCATAAAACCAGAGTTTCACTGGTTTTTTTTTTTTTCTTCTTCCTTTCTGCATAAAACTAGAAATTCATTACAGGTTGGCAGCTTGAAGATAGGGATGTTTTGTATTTTCCCAAGTCAGGGAGGCATGGGGCTTTCTAAAAGAATTTTATTTTAAAAATAGAAGTGACAAGACACTTTCTCATCTCGAGTATATTACAGTATTTTGAACAGGATAAAATAGATACCTCCTACAAACTTATTTTCCTATGGAGACAAGGCTCAGTTAAGTGGGCAGATGTTCTCAAGAGTTATTTTAATAAAATCCTACTTCTGCGTCCTTTGTCTCAGCTCAAAGCCCAGCTCAGTAGGCATTCAACGCTTGAACTTCTGGGCTTTTTAATCACCTTATTCACTGGTGGGTGAAACCCTCAGTTGGTTCTCACCCTCGCTATGAGTTCCTTAGTCAGTCTTTAACACATAAAGGAATTTGAAATTTTTATTATGGCTACTAGGGTGGCGCTCATTAAGACTTTCTTTTCTGAAAGAGCATTTGCTGTTAAGTAAGTACGTCTCTAACACTTGGAGGGCCCCTCTTTCTTTTTTTTTTTTTTAAAGATTTTATTTTATCATTTGAGACACAGAGATAGAGAGAGAGAGCATGAGCAGGGGGAGAGGCAGAGGGAGAGGGAGAAGCAGACTCCTCACCGAGCCAGGAGCCCGACGTGGGGCTCGATCCCAAGACCCCGGGATCGTGACCTGAGCCTAAGGCAGACGCTTAACCATCTGAGCCACCCAAGCACCCCTGGAGGGCCCCTCTTTCAATGTATTCTTCACTCAAATATGAAAATGATTTTTTTTTTTTTGGCAAATAGAAATATTTTAAATTTCAAGACAGGTTGCTCTTTTAAGGAACCTATTGTGACTCTGTCTTCAGAAAAATCACTCCATATTTTCCAGTAAAATGAAAGAAAACTGGTAAATAATTCCACAAGAGCTTGATCATACATGCTTTCTACTTTTGTTTAAATAAATTGAAAGCCTTAAACAAAATACTATGAAAGTCTTTTATTTTTCTGTAGTTAAGAATTGGCATAGTTTTTGGTGATGAATGCCTGAATCTTTTTTTCCCTTCAAGCTCCTCTTCTAGCTTTGGCATCAGAATGATCTTAGGACCCCATGAGGCCAGTGAGGCAGTATTAGCATTTCTCTGCTGTGTAGTTGACATAGAATGAATCAGATGATTTCCTCTGTAGGGAAATTTCTCACTTCACACCTCAAGTGGTCTCCTTCAGACTCCTTTCTGTCCCAAATTGTTTTCTATCCCCTGCCAGACTAGCTTTCCCAGGCACACAGTTTTCCCTGCCTTATTGCACCCCCTTGTTCAGAAACTTTCCATGGCTCCCTACCCCTTGGGGAATCCAGTCTAATCTGGAATTGGCATTGAGAGCCATTGAAGGTTGCTTCTCAGACCACCCACCTTGCTCAGCTGGGTCTCCTGGCTTCCAGGTAGGTCACTCCCTGACCCAACGCACCGCGTGCCTTCACTAGGGCAGATCACTCGTCAGCTGCCTGGGCTTCTGTGGAATCCTCCATGTAGCCCTGGCCCCTGTCAGGAGTACATAGGTGCCCAGTGCTGAGTGGCAGAGAATCTGCCTAAGGGAACGGTTTTAAAGATTAAAAAAAAAAAGTATTTTAAATTCAGCTGTAACTCTGTGTAAATATAACTAAGCTCTGTCAACATTTATATAACTTCCGCAGTCCTGCAGATGGAATTTTAAATTGAGGGTTGGGACCCATGTCTTATTTATCTTTATATCTACTTGGGATTGGCCTAAGGTATTCAGAAGATAATGAAGGACTTTGAATCTGGTCAAACTCTATGTAGCATATGTTAATCTAACTATTATTATAAGTTGTGGTACAGCAGAAAGACTTGTAGATGCAGAGAAAGAAGTCTAGATTCTAGTACCTCCTCCCTCATTTTACTCACTTTGTGGAAAGCTCTCGTTTTTATTTCTGGCCATCTGCCCCCTCTTCCTGCTTCTGAAGGTTGTTGAGATAATTGAAAGAGGAACAGTATGTAAAAGGGTCTTGAAAATAACAAAGCTCCATACAGTGTTGAGGTGGGATTGTTGTAATATCAGTGACTGAAAAGAATATGGCTTTCTCAGACTTCACCCAGCTGTCTCCATCCATCCACTCAAGTTCAGTGGCACTCTCTGACAAAATAACCCATTTAGCTATATTCCTTTCTCAGTGCTGGCACCTTCTGACTTAAATAGCTTATGGTTTTTCTAGATCACAGTTCTAACTCACTGAGGTATGATTGGTTTTGATGGGACTATAATCAGATAGAAGCACAGTATTTGGCGGGAATCAGGAACGGTGGTTTTCATGGGGAGTAGACACAATGTCTAGCCACTTCAGCTGATAATGAAATGGTCCGGTGCCCTAACCATGCCATATTGCATTGGCCTGACAGGAGCAGAGTTTTTAATGTTGCTTGCTATGTTCCCTGCTTTTGTTACTGCCTCTACACCTCTAGTTGTTTCTCCTACAGATCTCTGGTGTGAGGGAGGAGTGTGACTTTAAGGGTTGATGGAGGAGGTCTAGCATTAGAATGCCTCTGTCAAAGGGCCTCAGTTTTCTCTCCTCTACAAAAGGCAGGAAATACATTTAGCAGGGTGCCTGACCCTCCAGAAAAAAATAGCTATTAGGAATTCTCAAGACTTGTTTGAAATGGTAGGCACTGGTAGTTGGAATCAAATCCACTGGGGTATTTTTTTTTTTTTTTTAACAAAGTGCTGTTATTTCAACAGAAAAACAGGGCTCAACGACCCTTCCCCCTTAATCTACACACCCTACCCACAGCCCCAGATTTCTGACCTATACCATTTGTGAGCACACCATAAAAAATGAATCACAATCCCTCTGTCCTTTGGCTCTGTGGGAATACCCAGGCAAGTTGATAGAGTTTCCTTAACGTGTCTTCATCTGCCTCTAAACCCAGAGAATCTTCTGCTTCCTCATCTTATTGGCAGAGATGATGGGATAAGGGGGAAAGGGAATTCACAGGTGAGATCACGACTCTAGAATGTGGGCAGGTGAGGGAGTGCCATGCTCTTCCACCTTCACTTGGCTTCTGGTTGTTGAATTCAAGGGGTTACTCGCCACTTGCTGGAACGGCATGGAGAGGTGAATGACTCTGTGATGGAAATGTTGACTGTTTTGGGTTGTGCCCCGACAACAGAGAGCATCAAATCTAACAACTTGGCCAGGGTTGTGTCCACCACTGGAGCCTACAAAATGATGACCACAGCAATAGCTAACATTGTCTGACAACATAGTGCCTGGCCCCTGGTTAGCAGAGAGTTTGATATGGATTAGCTTTATCCTCTTGACATCTGTGGCGAGGTTCTATTTTTATCCCCAATTTACAGATGAAGAAATTGAGGCCAAGAGGAGTTAAATAACAAGTCGAAGATCATTGGAAAAAAAAAGTAGCACGGCCAAGTTCAAATCCAGGCGTGCTGCAAAGCTTGGCATCTTACTCTTATCTAAAGCATAATTCTTTAAATTTACTTACTGTGAAATAGTTCTTACTAACAATCTTTGAAGTCAGTATGTTGATCCGTATGAGCTTTATGTTGTCCATAGTTGGAGGAAGCAACTGTATCACAAACATTATGTGGCCTTTGTCTTACAGCTTCCATCGTGATTCAGAAATGGTGGTGTCACATGAATCCTTGCTTGGAAGGAGAGGATTGTAAAGTGCTGCCAGATTACTCAGGTTGGTCCTGTAGCAGTGGCAATAAAGTCAAAACTACAAAGGCAAGTATAGACACACGCAATTCTCCTTTACAACGTCCGCAGATTATTAACTATGCGGTTTTCCCCCCTTCCTTTTATTCTGGCACCACGACATTATTTTATGTTGAGCCACCCTATTACTTTGGCCTTTTGGGAAAAGCCCATTTCCGAGTATTGCCCTTTATGTCCGATTTTACAGAGCAGTGATTTGGGGGATGAACTTGTTATTTTAGGCAGGGCCATGAAATTCATTACAGCTCCTTCAGGAGCCCAGTTCAAAATAAAGGGATTGGAGTTGACAGGCCAGCATATCAAAACAGCACGGCGAGATTCCACACACAGTTGACTTGCTGAGGGAGGCATACTTCCTGGGAGGAGTTTTAATAAATTCAAGGTGTCACAAGTCAAGAGTTGCCTGCCCCCAGTGATCCTCTGTCCAGGCCACCCTGTCTCAGAAGCGTACCGCCATCCACCTAGTTCTTGAGCCAGAAATCTCTCTGCCTTCATGTCCCCATGTCCCATCTGTTATTGGTCCTTGGGATTGTTCCTCCCAACTCCCTCCTTGAGTGTGTGTCACCATCCTTACCACAGGGGTCCTGTCCCAACCATGTCTCATCTGGAGGACTGAGTTGCTGCCTCATTCTCCACACAATGACTCCCATCACTTTTGTGAAATGAGATCTTCTAAGCTAGTCTGTCTCTTTTGCTCCACTGGTCTTGCCAGTCTGGTGCTTCACAAAGGGAAGTGGCTTGCTGGGTTATTCACTCTTTTTCCCCCCGCGTTTCAGCCTTCTGTTGGTACCTCTTACCATGGTGCCTTTGTGGTTGCAACGGAAGGTGTTCTTCATGGAATGTGCTTCCCTCCTTTCTTTTCTACTTCACCATTATTTCTTCAGAGTCCATCACTGATTGGATTCGTGTCTCCTGTATCTCTGAGCATTGATTATGGTTCTACTTTACATGGCAGGGTATCCTGAGGGGCTTAGCACCTAGAGCTTTCTCTCTAGAAGAGAACTGTGAGGTCAGGCCCCATGTTTGCAGTGACCTTGATAGTCCCATAATAAAAGATTACATTTAGAACAAATGGTAACATTTTATAGAAAACTGTAAATGCAAATTTTACCTGACATCAAATACAAAATTAATAGTACAGTAAGTCAGATGATTAGTTACCTGGTTAAAATCATGATTTCAAACTCAAAACTATTTAACATTAATTGTAAACTTTTTTGTAAGTAATATAAAGATGACTAGGATAAATAACCTGATACAGGCATATCTCATTTTATTGTGCTTTGCATAGACTGTTTTTTTTTTTGTTTTGTTTTACAACTTGAAGGTTTGTGGCAACCCTGTGTCAAGCAAGTGTATTGGCATCATTTGCATTGGCTCATTTAGTGTTTCTGTGTCACATTTTGGTAATTCTTGCAATATTTCAAACCTTTTCATTACTTGTTATGGTTATCAGCGATCTTTGATGGTACTATTATAATTTTAGGGTGGCAGCCCTGTAAGACGGCAAACTGAATATGCACACCTATGTGTTCTGTTCCCCTGTCTATCCTCTCCTGGGCCTCCTTATTCCCCGAGATACAACAATATTGAAATGAGGCCCATTAACAAACCGACACGGGCCTGTAAGTGTTCCAGTGAAAGGAAGAGTCACATGTCTCTCACTTTAAGTCAAAAGCTAGAAATGATTAAGCTTAGTCAGGAGGCCTTGTTCAAAAGTCGAGATAGACCCAGATCTAGGCCTCTTGCACCAAATGATTAGCCAAGCTGTGAATGCAAAGGAAAAAGCCATGAAGGAAATCTTAAAATACTCCAGTGAACACACAAATGATAGGAAAGGGAAACAGCCTTTTTTGCCCATATGAAGAATGTTTGAGTGGTCTGGATAAAAGATCAACCCAGCCACAACATTCCCTTAAACCAAAGCCTGATCCAGAATACGGCCCTAACTCTCTTCAGTTCTATGAACATACAGAAGAACAGTTTGAAGCTAGCAGAAGCTGGTTCCTGAGGTTTAACAAAGAAGGTATGTCCATAACATACAAGTGCAAGGTGAAGCACCAAGTGCTGATGTGGAAGCTGCCCCAAACTGGGCAAAATAAAGAAGGTGGCTACTCCAAACAACAGATTTTCGCTGTAGACAAAATAGCCTCCTAAGGGAAGAAGATGCTATCCATGACTTTCATAGCTAGAGAGGAGAAGTCAATGCCTGGCATCAAAGCTTCGAAGTACAGGCTGACTCTTGTGAGGGGTTAATGCACCTGGTGACCTTAGGCTGCAGACAATGCTCAGTTACCATTTCAAAAATCCTAGAGTCCTTAAGAATTAGACCAAATCTACTCTGTGCTCTAGAAATGCAACAAAGCTTAGATGTCAGTGTATCTGTTTACAGCTTGGTTTGCTGAATATTTAAAACCCACTATTGAGACTTATTGCTTATAAAAAGATTCCTTTCTAAATATTACCACTCAGTGACAATGGACCTGGTCCCCCAGAAGCTCTCATGGAGATGAATGTTGATTAATGTTTTCATGGCTGCTAACATGACTCCTTGATCCAAGGGCTGCAGAATGTTTGTCATTTAGTCTTTCTTATTATTTAAGAAGTGCATTTTATAAGGCTACAACTGCCACAGATGGATCTGGGCATGCTAGATGCCATCAAGAACATCGCTGATTCATGGGAAGAGGTCAAAATTAACAGGCGTTTGGAAGAACTTGATTTTAACATGCATGGACAACTCTGAGGGGTTCAAGACTTCAGTGGGAAGTCACTGGGGATGTGGTGGGAATAAAGTGCTGCCATCTCATGAGAAACAGAATAGATGAGGAAGCACTTCTTATGGACGAGCAAAGAAAGTGTTTTTTTGTGATGGCACCTACTCCTGGTGAAGATACTGTGAAGATGGTTGACATGACAACCAAGGATTTAGAATCTTCCATCAACTTAGTTGATAAGCAGCAGCAGGGCTTGAGAGGATTTTCTCCCAGTTTGAAAGAAGTTCTGCGAGTAAAATGCTATCAGCAACATGGCACGCTATAGAGAAGTCGTTCATGAAAGGAAGAGTCCGTCAGTGTGGCAGGCCAGATGGTCTTGTTAAAAGAAATTGCCACAGCCACCACCACCCTGATTCGTCAGCAGCCATCAACATCAAGGCAAGACCCTCCACCAGGAAAAAGATCAGGACTGGATGCAAGCTCAGATGAGGGTTAGCATTTTTTCTGTGTGCTTTTAAATTAAGCCATGTACATTTTTGTTTAGACAAAATGTTATCGCACACTTAGAAGTACAGCACAGTAGAAACATAACTGTTATGGGCACTGGGAAACCAAAAAATTACTCTGGCGTGCTTTATTATGATACTCATTTTATTGTGATATTTGCTTTATGGCAATACTTGCTTTACTGAGGTGGTCTGGACCCAAACCTGCAGTCCTCTGAGTTATGCCTGTATATGCTCTTATATCCAGAGCAGTGGAAGTTCGTGGAGTCCTTTGCTGGTGGAGGAAGGAGGTTAATGCTCCCATAATTTCTATCAAGTCCGCTTCTGAGCTACTCCAAATTAACTTCCAATCTATGTAAACCCAAGTGTGCTTGCTAAGCAAACTCTGCCTTAAGGTAATTCCACTCTCCTTTCCCCACTGGCCCCTTTCAGCCCTTTTTTCCCTATGCCCTTCCTGAGTAAAAATCTTGGAGCTGCCAACAAGCTGGGGTCTTACATCCATCAATGATAAAAATTTCCTTTTATCCTATTGCTTGTAGACTAACAGTCGGAAGATTATACTTGTATTGATCCTTATATATAAATATAAAATAAGCCATGAGCACAAGCCAACTGTGTTCTGGAAAAGAATGTGTCTAAGTAGTCTCTTGCTGGAGCAGCTCCCTCTCTATTTATGTGCAGTTAGAGCATTTGCAGGAAGCAAACCTTTAGGGGCATTTTGGCTCTCTGTGCTGGGAATATAAGTTTGCTCTAGCTAAATCCTCAACGGTAGTGACATTTCATTTGGCACTTTTTAAAGTTGTAGAAACACAATACAGTTCCCTAAGCCATAATGATACTTAGCTGCTTTTTTTTTTTAGTGATATGCCACTTGAGAATAATCTCGAAGTAGTAAAACTTTGTTTCCTTTATTAATCCAAGTCACTGTGACTTGAACTGCATAAAACATTTTATGTCTTTTATGGATCTTATGAACAGAGTAAATTCATTTGTAGAGGTATAACTGGCTTCCTGGAAGAGCTTAGTACCCTCAGAAGCTGTGTCTTTTTCTTAGAATAGACAGCAACCTTATACAAGTATGACAGAGGTCCTACAGAGGTAAAAACCATTGCAGCCCTAGAGGGGGTATTAACTGTATAACAAAGTAGTTTTCGTTTTCCTTAAACAGTTCATGAATAGCAACATCAAAACATGGAAATGTTGAAAAAAGATAATCCTGCAGTAAGCCACCTATGTCAGAATTTTGTTTTCCATTTAAATGCAAATATGAGAAGAGTAAGCAGTCAAGCTGAGATATTAACAGACTTAGATGAAGATATGACAATGAGGGGGACCGTTTTCAAGCCAGTCATCCTGTCTTTTCCAGGGGTAAAAGGGTAGCTGTGAGTTTATTCTGGCTCTACAGTTTTCAGTGTTTCCAGAGAGAACTTCAGCTACTAGTTCTCATGGAGAACTACAACTCTCATTGTCAGCCTGCCTCAGTTTTCCTTTACATTTCAGTTGTTCATATTAAAGCTCCTAACAACTGCACGATGTTGTTTTATCACCACAGTGAACCACTGGCCAGGGCTGTTTTTTGTTTGAGAATGGAAGTAAATCATAGTGAATTTCAAGAAATTTTACATTTGTCATGTTTTTGTTTTTCCAACATCTAAGGGTGAAGAGCTATGTCTTAGGAGCTGTAGTTCTCAACCAGGGGTAATTTTTCCATCAAGGGGATATTTTTAGTTGCCACACGTTGGGGAGTGGGGGGATATATGGACATTTTGGGGGGAGATGCCAGACAGGCTGCTAAAAATCTTAAAATGCACAGGAGGGGCCCCCCATAGCAAAGAATTATCTGGCTCCAAATGTAAATAGTGTTGGGGTTGAAAAAAATCTGCCTTAGAGAATTTTTTTTTTTTTTGGTAGCTGTTTGTAAGCATCTTATTTGATTCTCTTACTTCATGTAGCTCTTCAAAGTTTCCACTTAGTATCTACATGTTTCCAATATTTCATATTAGAAAACTAGGGCGCCTGGGTGGCTCAGTTGGTTGGGCGACTGCCTTCGGCTCAGGTCATGATTCTGGAGTCCCGGAATC